TTATATCCGTGGCGGTATCGTCAGTCAGGTCAAAGTACCTAAGAAGATCAGCTTTAAATCTTTGCTGGCCTCCCTGGTGGAGCCCGACTTCGTGATGACGGACTTCGCCAAATTTTCCCGGCCTGCTCAGCTGCATATTGGCTTCCAGGCCCTTCACCAGTTCTGTGCTCAGCACGGCCAGCCCCCTCGGCCCCACAACGAGGCGGATGCCACAGAGCTGGTGGCCTTAGCGCAGGCCGTGAATGCTCGAGCCCTGCCAGCAGTGCAGCAGGAGAGTCTGGACGAGGACCTCATCCGGAAGCTGGCATACGTGGCTGCTGGGGACCTGGCACCCATCAATGCCTTCATTGGGGGCCTGGCTGCCCAAGAGGTCATGAAGGCCTGCTCTGGGAAGTTTATGCCCATCATGCAATGGCTGTACTTTGATGCTCTGGAGTGTCTCCCTGAGGACAAAGGGGCCCTCACAGAGGACAAGTGCATCCCGCGCCAGAACCGCTTTGACGGGCAGGTGGCTGTATTTGGCTCAGACATGCAAGAGAAACTGAGCAAGCAGAAGTACTTCCTGGTGGGTGCAGGAGCCATTGGCTGTGAGCTGCTTAAGAACTTCGCCATGATTGGGTTGGGCTGTGGGGACGGCGGAGAAATTGTCGTCACAGACATGGACACCATTGAGAAGTCAAATCTGAACAGACAGTTTCTGTTCCGGCCCTGGGATGTTACGAAGTTGAAGTCTGACACCGCTGCTGCGGCTGTGCGCCAGATGAATCCGCACATCCGGGTGACCAGCCACCAGAACCGTGTGGGCCCTGACACGGAACGCATCTATGACGACGATTTCTTCCAAAACCTGGATGGGGTGGCCAATGCCCTAGACAACGTGGATGCCCGTATGTACATGGACCGCCGTTGTGTGTACTACCGGAAGCCACTGCTGGAGTCGGGCACACTGGGCACCAAGGGCAACGTGCAGGTGGTGATCCCCTTCCTGACAGAGTCGTACAGCTCCAGCCAGGACCCGCCTGAGAAGTCCATCCCCATCTGCACCCTGAAGAACTTCCCCAACGCCATCGAGCACACCCTGCAGTGGGCTCGAGATGAGTTTGAAGGCCTCTTCAAGCAGCCAGCAGAAAACGTCAACCAATACCTCACAGACCCCAAGTTTGTGGAGCGGACCCTGCGGCTGGCGGGCACCCAACCCTTGGAGGTGCTGGAGGCCTTGCAGCGCAGCCTGTTGCTGCAGCGGCCACAGACCTGGGCCGACTGTGTGACTTGGGCCTGCCACCACTGGCACACCCAGTACTCTAACAACATCCGGCAGCTGCTGCACAACTTCCCTCCTGACCAGCTCACAAGCTCAGGAGCTCCCTTCTGGTCTGGACCCAAACGATGTCCGCACCCGCTCACCTTTGATGTCAACAACCCCCTGCATCTGGACTACGTGATGGCTGCCGCTAACCTGTTCGCCCAGACCTACGGACTGGGAGGCTCTCAGGACCGAGCTGCTGTGGCCACACTCTTACAGTCTGTTCAGGTCCCCGAGTTCACCCCTAAGTCTGGCGTCAAGATCCACGTCTCTGACCAGGAGCTGCAGAGCTCCAGCGCCTCTGTTGATGACAGCCGTCTAGAGGAGCTCAAGGCCACACTGCCCAGTCCAGAAAAGCTCCCTGGGTTCAAGATGTACCCCATCGACTTTGAGAAGGATGACGACACCAACTTCCACATCGATTTCATTGTGGCTGCATCCAACCTCCGGGCAGAGAACTATGACATTCCCGCTGCCGACCGGCACAAGAGCAAGCTGATTGCAGGGAAAATCATCCCGGCCATCGCCACAACCACAGCAGCCGTGGTTGGCCTTGTGTGCCTGGAGCTGTACAAGGTGGTTCAGGGGCACCGAAAGCTGGACTCCTATAAGAATGGTTTCCTCAACTTGGCCCTGCCTTTCTTCGCTTTCTCTGAGCCCCTGCCCGCACCCCGTCACCAGTACTATGCCCAAGAGTGGACGTTGTGGGATCGCTTTGAGGTACAGGGGCTGCAGCCTAATGGCGAGGAGATGACCCTCAAGCAGTTCCTTGACTACTTCAAGAGCGAGCATAAATTGGAGATCACCATGCTGTCCCAGGGCGTGTCTATGCTCTATTCCTTCTTCATGCCAGCCGCCAAGCTCAAGGAGCGGTTGGATCAACCGATGACCGAGATCGTAAGCCGTGTGTCGAAGCGAAAGCTGGGCCGCCATGTGCGGGCACTGGTGCTTGAGCTGTGCTGCAACGACGAGAGCGGCGAGGATGTCGAGGTCCCCTACGTGCGATACGCCATTCGCTAACCCCAAGCCCCCCTTCTCCAGAGCCCTTCCCGCCCGGGGCTCCCATTTGACTTGTGGCAGTGGCCCAGCTAGCCAAGCCTGGCATTCCCTCCTCGTCCCTCTACCTGATCCCTCTTGCCACTGCTTCCTACCTTGTTCAGAACCTTGAATCCTAATAAACAGTTATTAACTCGGGGGGAATCTCAAATAAGAAACACCCTGGTTTTTTATCAGTGATAGTCTGGGAGTATCATTTGTGTACTGTTCATACAATAGAATGTCAGAGCAGTGAAAGCAAACAAATTATAGTCACATGGATATGACTTAAAATCATAATATTTAGTGCAAAGAAGACAGGCATGAAAAGGAACCAATCAACCAAGAAATAAAGTATCATTTTATTTCTAAAAGTTCCAGACTAGGAAAAACAAATCCATGTTATATAGGGATGCAAACGTAAGTGGTAGAACTACAATGAAAAGCAAATAAATTACCATAAAAATTAGGATTGTGGTTACCTCTGTGGGGAAGGAAGGAGTTCAATTTGGGAACCAGCATGTGTGAAGCTTCTGGTGGGGCAGCCTGGGCATAGTCACATAGATGTTCACCTCATAATTGTTTGTTAAACTGTACATAATGTTTTTGCACTGTTTTGCATGCATGTTTCACAAAAATTATTTTCCTTTTCTCTTCCCACCCTTCCTTCCCTTCTTTCTTTTGAGATTTCCCAAAATAAAAAACACAAAAATTAAACATATATGTAATGATATGTTTTCATCTTTCCCATTCTGTATTTACTTGTTAGTTACCCTTATGCTGGGATGTGGGGACCCCAGCATCAACCTCTATAATTCCTCAAACTGAGAGATGGAATTTGGAGCTGTGTTTCACCATCACAAAATTCTCCTGGGTGGTAATAATTGGGAAGTCTTGTGTTATTAGTCAGACATTGTTTTCCCTTTAAAGATTCTTTAATATCTTTTGTGTGATGCAATATTTAACACTATGCACCCTATCTAGCTTTGCCCATTATTGTAATCCAGTACCTAGTATGGTGCTTGACACATAGTAACCACTCAAATACATATTATTGTTATAATTATTTTGAGATATATTTTTATTGATTTCAGAGAGGAAGGGGGGAGGGGAGAGAAACATCAGTGAGGAGAGAGAATCATCGATGGGCTGCCTTTTGCACACCCCACACGGGATTGAGCCTGCAACCAAGGTACATGCCCTGGATCAGAATTGAACCTGGGACCCTTCAGTCCGCAGGCTGACGTTCTATCCACTGAGCCAAACCAGTTAGGGGCAATACATATTATTTAAAACAAATTTATTAAGTAAGGTAAGTCACCTATGCCTGGCTGGTGTGGCTCAGTGGTTGAGCGTTGACATATGAACCTAGAGATCACAGTTTGATTCCTGGTCAGGGCACATACCCAGGTTTGGGTTCTATCTTCAGTAGGGGGCTTGCAGGAGGCAGATGATCAATGATTCTCATCATTGATGTTTCTAACTCTCTCTCTGAAATCAGTTTAAAAAATATATTTTTAAAAAAGTCACCTACCATAGCCTTAGCAGATTTGGCTTAGTGCAGTGGTCAGCAAACTCATTAGTCAACAGAGCCAAATATCAACAGTACGACTGAAATTTCTTTTGAGAGCCGGAAACCGACGACTTCTGCGCACGGGCCACGAAGTTTCAATTGCACTTTTCGTGTGTCTCCACACATGGTATTTTGTGGAAGAGCCACACTCAAGGGGCCAAAGAGCCGCACGTGGCTCTAGAGCCAAAGTTTGCCAACCACTGGCTTAGTGGATAGAACAACAGCCTGCAGATCAAAGGATCCCGGGTTCAATTCAGGTTAAGGGTACATACCTAGGTTGCAGGCTCCTCCCTGGCCCGTACCCTAGTCAGGGTTCGTGTAGGAGGCAACCAATGGATGTGTTTCTTTCATATTAGTGTTTCTGTCTTCCCTTCTCATTTCCACTCTCCCTAAAAACCAATAAAAAAAATACCCTTGGGTGAGGATTAACAACAAAAACAAAAAGGCACATAAAATTCACTTTTAAAAAAAATATTTTTTATTGATTTTTTTACAGAGAGGAAGAGAGAGGGATAGAGAGAAACACCGATGAGAGAATCATCGGATCAGCTGCCTCTTCACAAACCCCCGCATCCCCAGTGGGGATGTACGCAACCAAGGTACATGCCCTTGACTGGGGAATCCAACCTGGGACCTTTAACTCCGCAGGCCAACGCTCTATCCACTGAGCCAAACAGGTTTCGGCTAAAATTCACTTTTTAAAGGGTAAACTTTATGCCCTAGCCAGCTTGGCTCAGTGATAGAGCATCAGCCTATGGACTGAAAGGTCCTAGGTTCAATTCCGGCTAAGGGCACATGCCTGGGTTTTGGGCTCCATCCCCTGTAGAGGGCGTGCAGGAGGCAGCTGATCAATGATTCTCATCATGGATGTTTCTCCTCCATTTCTCTGAAATGAATAAAAACATTTTTTTTTTAAGGAATATTTATTAAGAATGTTTCTTTTTACCCTTTGTTGGAAGAAACAGAAATTATGAAGAGTGGCCAGCAGGTGGCGCAATGAAACAACATTGAATCTCTCAGTCATTAAAAAAAAGGCCAAGGCAGAGTCAGAAAGCAGAGCTTGGACCTGCAGATTTCAACCGAGAGAACATGTCATTCAGATTCGGCCAACATCTCATCAAGCCCTCTGTGGTGTTTCTCCGGACAGAACTGTCCTTCGCCCTCGTGAACAGGAAACCTGTGGTCCCAGGACATGTTCTGGTGTGTCCCCTCCGGCCAGTGGAGCGTTTCCGAGATCTGCGTCCCGATGAAGTGGCTGATCTGTTTCAGGCAACCCAGCGGGTCGGCGCGGTGGTGGAAAAGCATTTCCAGGGGACTTCTCTTACTTTTGCTATGCAGGATGGCCCCGACGCCGGACAGACCGTGAAGCACGTTCACATCCATGTTCTGCCCAGGAAGGCTGGAGACTTTCACAGGAATGACAGCGTCTACGATGAGCTCCAGAAACATGACAAAGAGGAGGCAGACTCCCCAGCCCTGTGGAGATCGGAGGAGGAAATGGCAGTAGAGGCCGAGGCACTGCGGGCCTACTTCCAGTGAAACAGGGACTTGAACAAATCCCAAGGCATAAGGAAATGGGCCTCGTTCTCAGGACTCTGCGGCGGTGGAAGTGAAGCTAAGCAGACTTGATTACATCCTACAATTTGGCAACCTTTTGCTCAGCATTTTATAGCCCTGCGGAAACCACCCAGTTATGTTTCAGTCACGATGTCTGACAGGCTAACTTCAAAACAACGGCACTGGTGGCCCTTCCACACTCCTGGTCTGCGCACTCAGAACAGAGCCCTTTCTACATTGCCCCTCCGTCTGGATGGGAATAAAATGGCAGTTAAGATAAAAAAAAACAAAAAAACACTAACTAACTAAATAAAAAACATGGAAAGCAGCCAACATTTCATCTGGTCATTGGAAAACATTTTGGTGCATTTCCCACCACCTACAATTTTTCTCCAAAACGGGCCATCATACAAAAGAACCTGGTAAATACAACTTTATTGAGGGAAACTGTCAAATCTAATTCTTCAAACGCAGGGAACAAAAAGAAAAACATAAGACCTTGGTGTTTCCTCCCTGTGGTTTGTCAGAGGGCCTTCAAAATAATAGGATGCGAAAACCCAGCATATAGAGCTTTTTTGTGTCTATGAGAAATGAGGAAAGCAAAGGTGTCTAATAATAAATACATTTCCCAAATATTGTTAGATGACTTTGGAGCTGGATTAGGAAGTATTCAATTCTAAATCTTTACCAAGCATTTCCACTTATGTCTTATTGCTTATGGGCCATTGGAGGTTGGGGAAATTTTAATGACTCAAAAAGCCATTTTTAATCTGGACACCAAGGCAAGAAAAGGGTTGTTCATCATCCCTTTCATATCATTTATTTGGGGCAAGGTGGGCATCATGACGGGAAGAGGATGGTGGTTGCAGTGGGAGGTTGGTTATATATGGGGAGGACTGATTGGATGAGTAAATATATTAAGCATAATAGGAGCCAGGTTTCTCACTGTTGAAGAAGTGAGCTGTGCATATGGGAAAGGGAGGAAAAACTAAAATGAAATCTGTGGATTGGAATTGCATATTGGTGTGACATCATGGTTTTAAGTATTTATAGATATAAATAAAGGTGTAAATGTGCACAAATATATGTGTACATATGTCCATAAGCATAGTCTCTAGATCTGTCCCCTAAGAGAGCCAGGAGTGATGACACCCATGGTGGTGAAAACACACATCAAGTGCCCAGGACTTGGCGTCTGAATACCAGTCTTTGCTAAAAGGAACCAAGAAGGACGGACAAGTGGCTGATTCCAGAGTTGGATCAGGGAAGGTGTAAGATGTGCTTGGTGTCAAAAATGTGAGGAAGTGCTCCTCAAAAAATGATGGGGGCCTGTGTGGCATGGCTCATTGATTGAGCATGGACCTCTGAACCAGGAGGTCATGGTTAGATTCCCTGTTAGGGCACATGGCTGAGTTGCAGGCTTGATCCCCAGTGTGGGGTATACAGGAGGCAGCCAAGCAATGATTCTCTCTCATCATTGATGTTTATATCTCTCCTTTCCTCTATGAAATCAATCAAAATACATTTTTATAAATAATGGGGACCTATGAAAAGGACACAAGCCAGATTGAAGTGGATCTCAGTGACTGTGAGCATCAAAATGAATAACTGTAATAATGGATTATAACTCATTAACAGAAAAATATGAGTTCATGCTCATAGAAATAAGTGGAAAGTTTGATGAAGAGCAGAGTAAAATCTGAATAAAGTCAGGAGCTTAGTTGTTAGGAATACACCTATGTTAATTTTGTTTTGAAGAAATTATGGATACTATCAACATTAGGGGAAACTGAGTGAAGATTAGCTGGGTACTTTACTCTTTAGGCATTGTTTTTTTTAAAAAAAACCTAAAAATATCCCTAAATAAATTATATTTCCAAACATATAAAGTCAGTGCTTACATTTTGCCAGACACTGTACAGCATTCATTGCATTTAATCCTCACAAAGACCCCCCCATCTCCCCCAGGACTCCCAGCTTACAGAGAAGGTGAATTAGGTTCTCAGGATCCTGTGCTCAGCAGGTGGTAGAACTGAGATTTGAGCTCAGGTCTGTCTGACTGGGCCAAATAAATCACACAGCCCCATCTAGCCCCAGATAGCTCCAGTAAAGCAAATAGCTGAATAAGGACAGAAAGGACATCTTGATACCTGAAGAGCAAACATTAAGCAAGTGAAATTTGATAATGCTCGCTGTTTCCATTATATTCTGCATCCATGGACAGCAAAATGGGTTTAAAATTTCTTTCAAATACCTGCACAACATTTCAGGAAATAAAAATCCCATCAATTGACCTGATTGACTTTTTCTGTTACACTCAATTCGCCCAATCTTTTTCAGGGTACACCAATGATTGTATAACTTTAATTAGTATACATACTGATTATTTGGGGTTCTGCTTTTTTACTTACCACGATTTCATGTACCTGTTTACAGGCATGCATTTAGTTCCCATAATGATCATTTAAACAGCCATATAGTATTACATGAAATGGACAGGATGCAGCTTCTTAACCATCTCCCTGTTGTGGGCACTTGGGATATTTTCAGTGTGTGGCTGATTGGAAAGTGCTGCTATAAACGTCTTTACACAAATTGCTTGTTACAATCTTTGGGACTATTTTGAGCAAGGGCATCTATGGGAAGCAGATGAAGGAAATGCACCTGGAATTTTCTTTGTTGTTCCACTTGTTTATGCATTCATTATTTGATTCTTGTGTGTGTCCTCACCCAGGATGGGCCCACATGCTTTGTGTACCTGGATGATGCTCTAACCAACTGAGCTACCGGGCCAGAGCCTAAGACCCTGGAATTTTCACTTCTCCTGGGGAAGGTGTTCTTTTTAGAGACTGGCTCTTGGCATCCAGTAATGCAAGTGCAGGAAGAGAAAAAAAACAGTGGCTCGAGATGGGGGTGAGATAAGAGATGCGACTGGAAAGCTAGACAGGAACAGATCTTGAGGGGGAGGGAGATTTGGATTCAGTTAGCTTTGAGGCGCTGGTGGTTATTTGAGCGACAGAAACAGCTGTCAAGATAGTCACCCAGAGTCAGAGGGCAGGAATCTAGGATGTTATTAGTTGCAGTACATGATGACAATGTGAGATGGCAGGGCCTTCTCTGTGCTTCCCCGCCCTGCTCGGCGACCTTGATGGCTAGGCAGCGCCGGTGCTAGCATTCCAGGCTGTTGGCTTTGGCTCAGACCAGGTAATGCTAAGGGATGGCGTGCTTTCACGTCCCCTAAATCGCCTCTCTCCCTCTCGACCCCCAGGCATCCCAAATCAACACAATCTGGTTCATCTAAATAAAATAAATTCTGCAAATGTACCCAGCGAACAACCGGAAGAGAGACCCTGGAGGCGCAAAACCACGCCCCAGGGACCCGAGACAGACCAGGCTAGGACCCGCCAAAGCTCTAAGCGTCCCCAGATCCAGCGCGCGGCCCGCGGAGGGCGGAGCCAGGGGAGGTGCTTGCGCATGCGCGGGACCTGCCTCCCGGCGAGGGGGCGGGGCGGGCGCCGGGGCGGGGCTGTGACGTCAGGCGCGCGCGTGGCTCCGGCTGCGCAGGAACAGCTGGTGCCTCTGAAGGCGGCCGGCGAGCGCGCGGCCGTGGGGTGCTGGGGGCCCGCCGCCCCGCGCCGCTGCACCATGTCCGGCCAGCTGGAGCGCTGCGAGCGCGAGTGGCACGAGCTGGAGGGGGAATTCCAGGAACTGCAGGTAAGGCCGGGCCACCTGGCCCCTCAGCGCGGCTACCTGGGGTGCAGTGCCTTCCCCTTCCTGCTCCCCCACCCCCAGCCCGGGGGGTGAGCACCTTCAGGGCCCAGGGGTGCCCCAGGCCAGGCCCTGGAGGCCGGCGGTCCGCATGGACCAGCCCCCTCCCGTCTCCCAGCACCTCAAATCTTCACACGCCTGGGGCGCCCGGGCAAAGCCTCCATTCCCCGTCCCTCGCACCGAGCACATCCGTCGCTGCAGAAAGTTGGTCCGTGGCCTCTGGGGGGAAGTTCCAGGCGTGTCCGTGTAGGGAGGAGGCCTGCGGGGACAGGTCTGTGCTGGGACTCGGAACAGCCCAGCCCCCACCTCCTCGGGTCTCCCCTGATCCCCACCACCCTTCGGCTTTTGGCAGCTCAGCTGCCCCTCTGTCCTGGGGGGCAGCCCTCCGCTGCAGCTCTGCTGGGAAGATGTGCTTGGGAGACGTTCACCTTGAACTCATCGGCTCTGCTTTGGGACCAGGGTTCCCTGTTCTCTGCCTTCGGGATTCCGGTGTCTGTCGGTGCTTCTCAGGCGCTGCTGCAGGCTGACTTCGGCATCTGTCAGTTCTGACAGCTGGGGTGCCTCCCTCAGGAGGGTGAGGGCTGCTTCCTGCCCTCACCCTTCTGGCCCAGAGCCTGTGGGGTGGGGGCGGAGGAGGCAAGGGAGGCCCCTTGAGAGAATGGCTTTGTGGCCTTGAGGTCCGGGCAGGGGGTTTGTTCCTGAGTCAGAGAAGATGCCCCAAAAAACCTTGGGGTTGGCCAAGGGGGACTCCTGGACCATTTTTGTAGATGGGGCTGCTCTCTCTGCAGCTACCCTCTTGTGCCTGTTTTCTCAGAGTTAGGCTCTGCTTACCCGGGGTCCCATCACACATCTCTGTGCACCCCTCCTTGTCCTCAGTCTGAGCAACGGCATTCCCCCCGAGCATGTCGCTTCTGTCTGCAGTTGGCTGGCCTCTCCCAGTGTCCAGAGGAGGGGAGCAGGGATTGCCAAGGGTATTTGTAATGAGTCCTCCTGGACCGGAGGCAGCAGGTCCGGATGTCCAGAGAGAGGGGTGCTGGAGAGACGGGACAGTTTTAGGCATGAGCAGAGGGTAAGGTACCCAGAACCAGAGCGGTATTCCTTTCTTGGCTTGTCCACCGTGTGTGTGGGTTGGTGCCCTCTCCTTCAGGTCTGGGGCTCAGGTCCCACCCAACTCCCTGGGGACCCTTATGGCTCCACTGCCATTGTAGAAACTCAGCCACTTTTTAAAAAAATATATATTTTATTGATTTTTTTACAGAGAGGAAGAGAGAGGGACAGAAAGTTAGAAACATCGATGAGAGAGAAACATCCATCAGCTGCCTCTTGCACATCCCCTACCGGGGATGTGACCGCAACCAAGGTACATGCCCTTGACCAGAATCGAACCTGGGACCTTTCAGTCCGCAGGCCGACGCTCTATCCACTGAGCCAAACCGGTTTCGGCACTCAGCCACTTCTTAATGCTTTGTCCTACTGGGCTTTGTCCTACTGTCATGTCCAGCCTTGGAACCACTTGGAGGGGATGTTAGGGGCAGGAGTGGGAGGAGAGGTTCGCTGTGTGGAGCTCTTGTTGTTCACCCTTCCTTCCCCTTGTCCTGCCTCAGCCCAGGAGAAGGAGGAGCCTTCACACTTCAGAGCGATGCGATTAATGGCAATTAACAGCGATTAGACAGCAGGTCTTGGCAGGCAGAGGTTGCAAAGGAGACAGTTTGATTTGCTTTGTTCTCATGTGGTGTCTCTGGGGCTCAGGTGTGTGAGGGACAGGGAGGCACTGGGCATTAATGCTGGATTTTGTCCCTGGGTGCCAGCAGGGTTTGCAGAAGGGCTCACCTGGTGGAAACTGCCGTCCCTGCTTAGTCCTTCAGCCGCCGGGCGTGGCGTGCACTTGGGGAAGAGGGAGCATCCATGACAGGAGGCATCACCCTTGCCCCTGCCCTTGCCCCGGCCCCGATGCACACGGAGACATTTGGGTGACAGGTTGTGTGGCTGCTCTCACCCCTGCTGGCCCCAGGCTTGGGTGGCAGCTTCTGGATCAGAGGTCAGTGATGGAGGGAAGGCCAAGGAGTCCCCTGGAGGGCTGGAGGTGAAACACACTGTGTCTTCAGTTCATAGATGAGGAGACTGCAGCGTGGGCATGCTAACGTAATCGGGGTCACACAGCTTCTAAGTGACCAAGCTGGAGCTGGAGCTTAGTTCTCTAAATGTTCACTTTAGCCGAAACTGGTTTGGCTCAGTGGATAGAGTGTGGGTCTGTGGACTGAAGGGTCCCAGGTTCGATTCTGGTTAGGGGCATGTGCATTGGTTGTGGGCACATCCCCTGGTTTTAGGGGGTGTGCAGGAGGCGGCTGGTCGATGTTTCTCTCATGGACATTTCTAGCTCTCTATCCCTCTCCCTTCCTCTCTGTGGAAAATCAATAAAATATATTAAAAAAAAAATAAAATAATGTTTACTTCACATGTATGTCCTTGTGTGGGGAGGCCCCTCTCTGTCATATTAAATGGGAGAGCTCTGAACTCCTGAGATGAAAGTCTCTGGAAATACATGTGTAATAAGTAGGGTGCACCTCGTCATTGTGTATGTACTGGACAGACTTTCAGATGAGGCATTTTATTAGGGAATAAGAGGGTTACAGCAGGTAGGCAGGTGGACAGAGGGGAACTAGAAAGATTTTTTTTTATTTCTTTCTTTCACCAGAAAATCTCTGTCTATCTTGAGCCAGACCGGTTTCGGCAATCTTAATTTTCCTAATCTACCTCGGAATCTGGGATTCTTGGATTTCATACTTGTATCTCTCTGGTTTCCTTTCTTGGGGCAATGTAGACTATCACTGGGTTTTTACCTTTCCTTCCCTTTTACACTTGAAGGGAAGGAAAGAGGAAACTTAACTCAGGCCCTGGAGGATTTGAAAGGTCTTTAGAATTTCTCCCTCCCCCGCAAAAGTCATAATCTCTGGGAATTTCCAGAGGAAAAGATCTGATTTCTTTTTATTGTGGGGCCTCACTGGCCTCTGGGGCAAGGTCAGGTCGCTATGGATATTTTGTTTTTAGCTGTTTGGGATTTCAGCCTTGCTGGTAAATTGAGCGTGGCCCTGTGGCCGGTGGTGTGACCACAGAAGGTCACTTACTGACACGGTGGCAGCTGGTTTAATGTAATGAGCCTTTCCTGCCTCGCCTTACATCACTGGAAACCTGACCTTGCCCCTCCCAACAAGGAAGGAGATAGCTAGAAGCAGTTTTTCCCTAAACTTTTTTTTTTTTTTTTTTTTTTTTTTTTCAGAGAGGAAGGAAGAGGAAGAGAGAGAGAAACATCAATGAAGAGAATCATTGATCAGCTGCCTCCTGCACCCCCCCCACTGGGGATTGAACCTGCAACCTGAGCATGTACCTTTGACCGGAATCCAATCGGGGACCCTTCAGCCCTCAGGCCGATGCTCTATTCATTGAGCAAAACCAGCCAGGGCTCTTTCCCTAAACTTGACCTCATAGTAGGTAGACCATTGTAAAGATTTTGGCTTTTGCTCTAGCCAGTTTGGCTCAGTGGATAGAGCGTCGGCCTGCAGACTGAAAGGTCCGGGTTCAATTCCGGTCAAGGGCACATGCCTGGGTTCTCAGCTCAATCCCTGTTGGGGGTGTGCAAGAAGCAGCTGATCAATAATTTTCTCTCATCATTGATGCTTCTATCTCTCTCCCTCTACTTTCCTCTCTGAAATCAATAGAAATATTAAAAAAAAAATTTTTTGCTGAAACTAGTTTGGCTCAATGGATAGAGTGTCAGCCTGTGGACTGAAAGGTCCCAGGTTCGATTCCGGTCAAGGGCATGTACTGTCGTTGTGGACACATCCCCAGTAGGGGGGTGTGCAAGAGGCAGCTGATCGATGATTCTTTCTCATCGATGTTTCTAACTCTCTATCCCTCTCTCTTCCTCTCTGTAAAAAAAAAAATCAATAAGATATATTTTAAAATTAATAATAAAAGATTTTGGCTCTTACTACCAATGAAATGGGCATTCCTCTAGCTGCTGTGTACGGAATAGACATGAGGGTGGGGCAGGCTGCAAGCAGGAAGATTGTATTATTTCATTAAATCCCTAAGAAATAGGGATTATCACCAATTTACAGAGAACAATAAGTTACACAACGTTTCATGGCTTGTAAGTGCTGGAGCCAGGATTCAATCCCAGGATGTTGAACACCAGAGTCTTCGTTCTATATGTCAGATATTTTCTGGGTTCCTAACATAGTGGACTCTGAACCCTTCTTGAGATGCTTAGCTCTAGAAGAAAAGTTTAGTAATATATATATATTTCATTAATTTTTTTACAGAGAGGAAGGGAGAGGGAGAGAGAGAGTTAGAAACATCGATGAGAGAGAAGCATCGATCAGCTGCCTCCTGCACACCCTTCACTGGTATGTGCCCACAACCAAGGTACATGCCCTTGACCAGAATCGAACCTGGGATTCTTTAGTCCGCAGGCCAACGCTCTAGCCACTGAGCCAAACCAGTTAGGGCTAGTCAGTCTTCTGTTGCAAGTGACAGAAACCCGATTCTACTGGTTTAAGCCAAAAAAGGGGTTTATTGGTCATGTCTTGGAAAGTCCAGTGACAAACATCTTCAGGCAAGGCTGGATCCGGGGCTCCAATGATGTCTCTGTGAGTGTGTCTGTCTGTCTCCTCGTTGTCATCTTTATTCTTAGGACGCTATTTGCACCTTCCTTTTTGTGGTAAAGATGACCACTGGCGGCTCCGGGTTGACATCTACCATCTACTTAGCAAACCTGAAAACACACACACACACACACACACACAAAAAAAAACAAACCCAGATGCATCTTTCCCCCAGTAATTCCAGTAAGAGTCCCAGGGCTGATTCTCATTGGCTGGACTTAAGTCATGTGATTATCCCTTACCAGTCAGTGGGGCATTGATTGGCAATGCCTTGGTTACATG